CGCATGCCCTCGAACTCCAGGGCAGACAGCGCCCTCCAAAAGCTTCGCGCGGACTCTACAACCACCCTCCAACGCCTCCGCAACCACCTGGAGCCCTCGCTGAGAAGCCCTACACAAACATCTCGTGGGTGTATCTCGTCCTTTGCGGCACTACTTTGAAGAACACAATTGTGGTAAGTTTTTGCTCTATTCCATCCTATCAAGGCGGTTCACAAACGTACAACATGTCTAGATCCCCTTGCCATGTACGCACACTGCAGCACTCCACCTTCCGCCGCGTCATGGCCACACCCTCGGACTGCACATTCGGCAGGGAGTCATCCGCAGACTCGGCATCACCGACGAGGAGCATCGTGAGATTCTTAACCTCATCTTAATTTTGCCACTACGCCAACTACGCCAACCCCTGTTCGGCACTCCCTCTTCCCATGTCGACATTCGTCCATCTCGTGTTACATGAGATCACCTATATCGCCCCTGGGGACAGCGCGCTCGTCGCCATTTCCCGGCTGTCGAACATGGTGATCTACACCCACCCTACGGTATGTTATTCAACTGTATGTTTACGTTCTTTTATTGACACTATTACAGACAAGCAAGGAATACACGATCGCGCGGGATGGGCCGCGATCACACGTGTGGATGTGCATGTCGCACACGCTCCGGGAGGCTGGGATCGCCGTTCCAGTCTTCCCTGGTCATCCGCGCCCCATTACCTCAGCTCATCCTCTCGTGCCGACCGTCTCGGCATTCACCACGGACAGTGCAGGGCCCCGCGCGCCAGGCCGGATGTGCCAAGCCCACCTCGACAACCTCTGCGTTAGGGACTTGTTACATAGTGACGCCTTGCTCCATCTCGCTCACACTTTGCACCTGCACACGCAACCACACAAGCGAGCATGTGAGCATGATGACGATGACGGGGCGCACACACGGGCTCCCGGTACTAGCAAGCGTGTGCGCACCGGCTGATCATCATTCACGCGCGTCGCGTCTTATGCCTGTCGACGAGTGTGATGCATGTCTGTATCAGCCCTTGCGTATATACAATGTACTTAGTATGATCTTTGTGTGATGTCTGTATTCCTTTCGGTGCTATCCCATTGTGCGCTTGACTCACTTGTGGGCGCTGGCGGGTGGGCGGATATCCGTGGATATCCACACCTAGCCCATAGACCCGATCTGCACCCGCGATGATCTGCACCCGGGTGATCTGCATGCTGATGGGTGCAGATCGGCGGCTCACGGATACGGATTATCACGCGGATACCTGTGCAATATCCGTACCCGCTAACAGCCTTACCCTTCGCTGTCCATCCTCTCCTCCTCCTCCTCCTCTCCGCTCTGCCCAGGCAGACAATAGCGACCATACGGTTGACTGTTGTCTGCTATTGGACTCCGGTGTCACCAGGTGACACCGACCTTCTCTCCTCCTAACTCCCTCAACACCGATCCCGCCCTATACCCACCTTCCCGACTGCATTCACGACAAACCCACCGCATGAGGACATCCATACGGATGTCCTCAGTATGGAGACTGGAATAGGGGGCCATGGCGATTTGGTGAGTCCTCCGCTTCATCCTGCACTCCCGATGCCCACCCATGTCCATACCCCTGCCTACGACAGCCTGAAGACGTCCCCCCTGACATCCTCTTCCACGCCACTCTCCTCCACACACTCTCCTCCGCCTGCATCGCCCGCCTGCGCCATCCGCCTCTGTGTCGCCCTCCTCCTCCTCCTCGCCCTGCGCTGGCCACCCATGCAGCTCGCCCACGCTGCGCTCCTCCTCCTTGCCCTTCTCCGCCCGTGTCTGCCGCCTCCTTCGCGCCACGCTCCTCTACCTGTGTCACCCACCTCCTCTATATCACTGCATCACCGCGCTCCTCTGTGCTGCGCTCCTCCGCATCACCTTCCTCCGCCTCCGCGCTGCCTTCTCCGCCTCGCCCTCCTGCACCCTCGTCCCTCCTCCACACAGCCCTCATCCGCCCGCACGCTGCCCTCCACCTGCGTCACCCGTCACGCGCCTCTGCCTCCAGACGTCGCCCTCCTCTTCCTCACCCTGTGCCGCTCGCCCACACAGCTCGCCCACGCCACCCTGCTCCTCCTCGCCCTGCTCCACCCGCGCCTGCCGCTCCTTCGCGCAACCTGCCCGCCCGCATCCCGCCTCCTCCACACCGCTCTCCACGTCTCCTGCGTCCGCCCGCGTCGCCCTCCTCCCCCTCCTTGTCCACTTCCCCACGCATTGCCCACATCTATCTGCATCACCCTCCTCGACGTTTCGCCCTCCACATCGCCCTCCTCGGCCTCGGCCTCTGCGTTGTCGCAGGGCTATAGCACTACTTGCTAGCCCTACTATAGTAGCTTACTATCAAATATATTTTAATCGCAAATTCTATACAAAAAGTGCGGTCTGAAACAAAGGGGGAGGTGAGCTCACTGTCTCCAACAGTGAGCTCAAGTAGAGCACCAGAGGCGCTGGTGGTCAGACATGTCGGGGCAGTGTCGCACCTGTGGGGCACATGAGCGCGCCTGGGGAAGCAGCAGCGGTGTAGATTGCAACCAGGCCAGTGGGGGTGACAGATGCATCCACACCTTGCTGAGAGGCTATGGTAATGGATGCACCAGTCCAATAGCTACTGTAGGCTGTCTGCCACACATTCCACGTTATCATCACCTTCGCGCCACGACACAGCACAACCTCTGCTTCAAGCCCGCCCGCGTCCTCTGCCAGTGCTTTGCTTGCGTGAGATCCTCCGTCATGTCGTGCCTTGATACGTGCACATGGCTGATTCAGCACCTGAAGCTGCTGGAAGTTGGCATGCTTGACAGCATCTGCGGTGGTGAGCAGAGTCATAGAGTTGGCGAAAGTGGCATGTTCACTGGGAGGCAGTCGACTGAAAGACCGTGTGACCAAAAGTTTCCAGTCGTCGCGTGTGAGTCCACCATCACGTGCGTGTTGAAGCATGAGTCGAAATTGCTGTTGAGAGAGAGAATCGCCTTGTTACTGGTGAATAGTCTTGAGCTGGTGGCTCTGTGAGACCATTCCATATAGAGTGGCGCCATCTCGGCTCGCCTGACCGCCTTCTGTTGTGATGTCGCTGGAGCACGGCTCTGCAAAAAGAGACTGGTCGCCAACAGCAGGTAGCTGTCCGAAGTCTCCCACAAGTGCGACATGGAAACCACCGAAAGGAGAGTTGAGAGGCTTGAGCTGGTGGAGACGTGTGTTGATCTTGGCAAAGAGTCGCTGCCCAAGCATAGATTTTTGTCGATGATTACGAAGTGCACACCTAGCCATAGCTGCTGGAGGTTTTTGAGCCAAGAACCAGAGAGAGGAGTGACGGAGGCTTTGGCACTAGCGGGGATAGACAAAGCAGAGTGCACCATTCGACCTCCGATGTTCCAGGCAGCAACACCGGAGGGCGCAAGTACACGAATTGGGTCAGGTCGTCTGTCCTCTGTGGCCATGCATTGAAGCGCCTGTGTGATCACTCTTATCAGATAGGTCTTCCCATAGCCCGCCATACCGTCAATGTTGAGATGTTGTAGCTCCAGGTCGTGGCCTCCAAGAACTCTAGTGTATGCAGCGATATACTGGTTGAATATTGTGTGCTGTTCTGCTGCCAAGGTGTCCAGGTTGATTATGTCAGCTTCATTGTTGAACACCGTATCGGCTCTGGCGTCTCAACCTGCTCTGCCAGGTACGTCGCCATCTGTTCAATGTTCTCCCAGCGTTTGTATGCTTCCTCCAGGTTCCATACGTTATTGTTCAATGTCATCCATGTTGAACTGTGGGACAGTTGACAGAGGATGCAGGTGCACGAATATTTGCCAGTCTTCCTCCAAGTCCATCAAGAATGCATCGGGATCAAACTCGAGCTCGTCATCATCATTGTCCTCCCCAGCATCACCGTTGTTGGCAAGTGTTCGCAGTGTGTCAAGTGGATGCTCATGCCCGTCAGCTTGACACATGTTGAAAAGCTCGGTCTAGGTACGTGGTTCACTAGCCGTTTCACCTGCTGCCATATCGTCTTCAGAACCTGATGGCTGGGGTAGCTGAAGAAAGGCGTTCAGGTTGTGAAAGAGATGGTGCAAGAGTATATTGGTGCGGCAGTAGTCCTCGAAGTGGTCGTCCTCGGGGTTTGGTGAGTATCTAGGAAATACTCGAAGTATGACTGTCTTGTCTCCGCGGCGTTGACGCCACTGACTGCCTCGCCAGCTAAACTCAACAAACACATCACACATCGACATCCCATCCATAGTCTCTGGGTGTTTCGAGTATCTAGAGCACAATAGCTGTGAGTAAACCTGTTTCTATCTTGCCAATGACATTACTCACCACTGGATCCAGGAATCAGACGTCACTGTGCGCACATCAGTAATTTTGCACGCGTCTGGCACAGCTGTCGTGTCTGTCAATTTCGCACACAGCGGCGACAGTTCGGCAGTCGGGCAGACAGACAGTTCGGGGGCACACAGCTCCAACAGTTGCCCAGACGGACAGACAGTGTGGGAAGCGGTGGATAAGTTAGCTAGCGTAATTACCTCACAGGCGTGACTTATGATAGACTGCTGGAATCGACATAAATACTTTTCATTCTGGGATGGTAGTACTGGTAGTGACGGTAGTTATGGCGTATGTAGTACATGTATCATCGACGTGTATGCACAATGTCGGGAAACGGCGGCGGACCAAAGGGTGCGTGCTGAAGTGGGAGCCGTTGAACTCCTTGCCGTGCCCTTCAACAGGCAAATCCGCAAGCTCGGGCGGTGAGCCCATCGGGATCGCCATGGGGTCGCACGAGTGTGCCACGGAGTCCCCCGCTGCGCCCGCTGTCTGGCGGGTCCGCGCGATCTGAGACTGGCCGTCTCACTGCCAGCCTGCGCCCCCATCTTCACCCCCATCGAGCGTGGCCCACGGCTCGCAAGGCTGGCAGGACATAAGCCCTCACAGCGCGCTACGGTGCCGTGTGCTCGGCGAGGGTGAGCGCACCGATGGTGTCAGTGTTCGTGTCGGCTGTGCGCGGCGGCGAGCAGGGTGCGGTTGGAAAGGAAAGGATGGATGTCAGCGCTCATCGCAGTCGCCTGCGTGGACCAGCGCCCAGAACGCACGCCCAGCGTGTCCCGGCAGCCGGCAAGGAAGGTGTCGACGCGGCCTTCGACCACCCACGGCAGCCGCGGGAACTGCATCTTGACGAGGAGGCCGTGCGTTGCGCCCGTGACGGCATACCTGTGCCGTTGGGGCGAGAGGTTAGCCCAGAGAGAAGAATGGACGTGGAAGGAGGGGAGGGAGGCGCGTACCCGAGCTGCTCCTTCGTCCGGAGCCTGAAGAACATAGGCTTGTGTACGAGGTGGCAGAGCAGGCGTGCCATCGCGCACGAGCAGGCGTCAGCCTCGATCCCAATCTGGACGTCGCCCAATGCTTTGACCCAGCGCTGTTCCTGTGGTGGCCAAAGGCCGGACGACGTGGCGACGTGGGGGCAAGACTGGCGAACGTGGGCGAGACGGTGTTCTACGGTAATGGTGAAACGTCGAGCGGTGGTTGGGCGATGGCGCTTTGGGTCATGGAGTACAAGGTCCCGCGCCGTTCAAAGCACTTCATTTATGGCATTGTTCGAACGTGTCAGGAGAAAGAAGTGAAGGAAATCTAGCGGGGATTACGCACTGGAGTGGTGGTGAAGGCTGCGTAGAGGGGTCCCTTGAATTGAGGTACGCTTGCAAGTCGCGCACTGCGTGTGAACCAGGGCTCACCACGCTGTGTGACTTGCTGCTCGGCTCATCAACGTGCGCGGAAGGCGGGGTGATGGGTCGGACAGACAGGAGGCGCGGGAATTCCTCCAGGTGGCGTTTCTGAATGCAGCGTGGCAGGTTGTGGTATGGTAGATGGCACTGGCAGGAGAGTCGGAGAACTGGGAGAGTGAATATAGGTGGTGGGAGTGGCGCACATAATAAGATGGTGAATAACTAAGGCAGGAGGGAGTGGAAGAGGCGTTAACGGCGAGCCTGGAGGACATGGGCAACGGAGAAGATGAGAACAGTGGTGAGCGTCGCCATGTGCTGGTGCTGGGTAGCCAGATCACGTGGATTCCCATGCGAAGTTGAGCCGAGTTCCACAGCGCGCCAACGCCAGCTCATCTCTCTCAGTCTCTCTCCCTCCCATGTCGCCGTCCACGCCCCCCCGCCCCCCTCGCTCGTCCTCTTCTCGACCTTTGGCCGCTTCCCCACCTTTCTCCCTCACACCCCGTCTCGCTCATAGCCGCCTCCTGCCTGCAGTTCACTGCCTGTCAGCCTTTTCTGCACCCAATACTCGCCCAGCCTGAAGCAGACGGTATGTCTCCACTTTTTTGTATTCATGCAGCCACATTTACAGCGTGTCGTGGACTCGAGTTGGGAGTATAGGCAGCCGAAGGGTGCGTCATTATTCGTCTTTTTGTGAGTGAATGCAGGCTAAAACGCAGAATCCAGGACGATTGCGAACGGCGCCGTGTGACCACTGTGTCTCTCCTGGAAAGTTTCAGTGAGTGCCTCATCCACATACTCTGCTACACGATTACTGACGCTCCCTCACACGCACACACAGCCCGACGTTGGGGCTTGATCAGATGCTTGACGCAATCGTCTTGAAGGGCACCTTGTCGTACAAGCACACCGCACGGCAGATGCAGCGACCGCCTCGTGTCGAGCTCCAGAGTTAGCGGACGTCACCACAGGCCCGACAACGGCCCGAACTTCGCCACAATGCTTTCCCTCTGTACCTCAAATCGCTCACGCTCACTGATCAGCCAGGCCGTGCGCACCTGCTTCGGCCCACGAAGCACACCAAGTTCCTCCCTCTTGCGTTCCCTGAGCGCAGCCTGGCAAGCGCGAAGGGCTGGTTCTGCCACTCGCCGTTATCCTGCACGGGTCTCATATCGCGATAATAGCTTGTCTCGTTTAGCGGACGCGCTGAGCCTACTGCGCGGTGCGCTCACCCAGTCGCCGCGAGCCCTGGGGGATGCACATGTGCGTCCCCTTCGGCTATATTAGACCAAGTAGCCGTTATTCTGCGAACGGTGCCATACGTCGTTACTATGTATCTATCATCATGATTTCGCCACTAGTATTTTTGATAATGCGATTGATTTTTTCTATTAATTCCTGTCCGATTTTGCGTGCCATCAGAACCCACTGACCAACTGCTCCGTCTGTCCTGTCTGCGCAACTGCTCAAGGAGACTCGGCGGTGAACTGCTCATCTGCTCGGTTTTACTGTCCGTCTGTCAACTGCTCATCTGCGGGGCACTGTCCGCCACTGTGACAGACGGACAGTGCCCCGCAGACGTGTGAAAAATTACTGATGCATGTCACCACTGTCGTCTAGTCTGGCAGAGGAGTCTTCCTGCACATTGTGTGTGCTGTCTGACAACGGTCGGAGTGATCCAGCCTTGGAAAGATTTAGAGTCTGGAATGTGACAGATGTGCGCACGAGCGGGAGCCTGAGCAGAAGGTGAGCTGTTTCTTGTGCTGAGTACGTGCGTTCACCAAGCATCTTGTTGATAAACTTCTGGCACGCTGTTTGTGCAGAACCTCACTCAGGAAGGTTTTTGACAGTGCCCGGCAGCATTTCTTGAAATGCAGGTGTGTTTGCCTCAGCTTTGGATGCGTATTTTGCGATATAACTGTGGTGTGCTATGTAAGCGGTTATCCCCCAACTCCACTCAATCCCAAGACCGCACCTCAACGCAGCATCTTTGCCAATCACTGGCTTGATGTCTGTATTGGCATTCCAGGTATATATCATGCCTCGGTTATGGGCATTCAGGACTGGATCGTTTCACCGAGGCTCAAAGTGCACTCTTCTACGACTGTCTAAGCCTATGCCCTCCATGTCTCGAGTAGGAAAGGGATAGTCAAAGTGGCACACTTTGATGTGGTCATTGGATCCAGGTATCTTCCACTTTACTTCACTGTTGAACGCGGTAAGTACACCGCGGACTACGCGTGAGAACGCTTGGCATACTCAGCCACAGGCCGCCGAGCGGCTCGGCTTACCTAAGAGCGTCTAGCCGTATGGCGCGCTCTACGGAACGCCACTGTATGGCATGCACGTCTCCGATCGTGCATCCCCCGTTCCAGAGAGCTATCTCTAGCTACTCTATGATACCGTAGTGTAGCCCCGTTTCTTTGCTCTCGTTTCAGCCTCTCTCGTGTACTGTACAGTAGCACCAGCCACTCGTTCGTACCCTGTATATATACCTGAGTATCCCGGCCTGCTAATACACAGTTCCTTTTACTACTACACTACGTGTGAGACCTCGAACAGGCTCTACTAAGCTACATGTGAGATGTCGCGCCCACTAGCGTGAGGCTACCGTCTCAACATTCACAGTATCCGGGCTTGCACTGAGTGTGTCGCTGTACCCAGTTTAACAGCTCCGCAAGCTCGGCCTTCATACCAGTCTTGTCCGAGTACGGCTTTGCACATGGGTGCGCACCAGCAAGTGGCGCATTTGGAGCGGGTAAATCAGGGTTCCAAGCTGTGATGATTCTGTTCCAGTACGTCACAAACTCATCTATACATGCCTTTTGCTCGGCTGACGGCTGGGCTTCCTGGTCCTTCACGATGTCAAAGTTGATCTTCGACACATCCAGAGCGTCTTGAAGCCAGAGAAACCCGTGAACATGTCCGCTCCCCCGATCTTGCCATTTGTATCAGTACCAGAAGTGTTTTACATGGAGAACAGGGAAGAGGTAGTATTTGAGGTAGAGTTCCACATGATGGTCAAGGTACACAGCTGCCAGGTGCAGATTTCTGTTCAGTGTAAGTCAGTTTTGGCGACGTTGAGCCCGTGCATCATCAGGTGGAACTTCTGTCTCGTTGGGCATGTGCTTTTGGAGATCTGGCCACTGCAGGTCGGCTGCGGACAAGGTGAAAAATGTGTGCGGTGTTCCTTGTACGTGTATCATGTCCATGAGCTCTTCACGTTGAGCTAACCAGTATGATTGTGTCCCACGAATGTTTGCGCCAAAGTGGACCATCCAATTTGCAACTGTTTGATCCCCTTCTTCTAGCATTGTGCGCATTTCGGAGACGGTCAGTTGAGCGGCATTGTGATCCTGTCTAACGAAGACTCGTGCACAGTCCCGACTACGGTGGCATTGCAACGTGTTGAATGCGAACCATGGGAACCTCCAGTGACGAGCAAACCTGCCATCATAGAACCGAAGTAGGTGAGTGAAGTATTCGCCCATATCCACCTTTCTCAGCCGGGCTTGATGAAAGTCACCAGACCCGTCCGGAAATAAAGTGGGAAACACTTTGACAATGTAGCCTGGCGTCCACTCGTTGATTGGAGTCCCATCAAGCTGAGGAGCTGGGATCTGTTATGTCTGGTGAGTGCGCCAAATTTGCTAAAGTATAAGAGGTCTTACGATGTTTATTTGAGAGTATTGGGTGCCTAGAGCGTCCCCTGGCAGAGGTGGTTCGCCATTCACAACGTCCTGCACCTGATTTTGAATTGCGGACACCTCAGTGAGTCCCCCTGTTCCTAAATTGAGTACTCCGTGTACGTGATGCTCAGATTCGTCCTCGGCATCTAACTCCACATTTGTTTTGCCTTCAGCTGGGTCAGTGGCTGCGTCTTGCGCTTGAGGAGGGCCGGGTGGTTGGAATTGTTCAGCTGTGGTGCCACTATCCGCTTGACGACCTCTTCTGCACGTTGGTATTCTAGATGCGACAGAACTGTGCTCTGGGAGCTGTGAAAGTGCGTGTTCATTGATGACAATGTCCGTGTAGCTTGGGTCGTGCTGAATCTTGTATCACAGAGCTTCCAGTACCTTCTGTCGGCGGACAATGAAATTGACGTGATGAGACATGTCTACACTGTCATGACGAATGATCACGGTGTCCACTGTCTATTTCTTCCGGGAGCCTGGGTAAGTGAGATGCGACGACTGTGATGTCTTGAGGGAAGCTGACTATGTGGTCGTTGTATCGTAGCTGCCCTCCCTTTGTGTACCGCACTTGCATGATCGGCTGAACCAGGGAGATGATTATCTCTTCCATATTGGTGAGATTTTGCAGGCACATTAGACGAGCAGCAGCTAATTCACGCGCACGGTGAGTTACAATATAATGTGAGTGTTCAATAGGGCCACACTCACCTGGATGCACAAGGTTCTCTGCGCAGAACTTCCGTACAGAGTTAGGACGGTCCGCATGACATCGCTGACACGTCCTTCGTGCAGTTTCATGTTGAAGCCTCGTTCCAGGCAGACATTACAGTCTTCAAGATGGAGTTTGTCCAGCGCCAATTTGAACATGCCAAAATGGTCTTGTTCCGTGTTTGAGAGGAACTCCTCCTCTGGTATGTCAATATCCATGTCGTCCCCACCCAAGTACTGGTCAAACTCGTCGATATGGACATTTTCTATGCCCTCCAGATCTTCAACATCCATGTTGGGCGGATCATCTTCGATATTATGACCACCTGCGGCGTCTTCTGGTGCATGTTGTCGTCTTGCCCAGTCTTCACAGTGTCAAGCTCGACAAGTGTTGCATGTTGCACGAAGCTTACTAGTCTCTGTAGTGCATGCTTGAACACTGACTTCACGACGACAGGATGTACACCAACGCATTCCAGCTGCTTCTGCTTGACGTCGTTTCTTCAAAGAAGCCTTGTTTCTCCGATCTTGGCACTTCTGACACCGCACAAATCTTGACTCACGATTTTGCCGCATGTACTCATCGGTGAGAGCCATACCATGTGGAGGACACTTGAAGAACTTCTTCCTCTTCACCACCTTCCTGCATCCACAACACTTCTCTTTGCGTTGACAGGTTCTGCACCGAGTTGGATCGTGATTCTTGAGATTTGCGTCTGGAAGGGGCTCAAATGAATTGACTGGAAACCACCCCAAGCAAAGAGAGCAGGTCCGAACACACGCCAGAATTGTGATCACCGGGCACCTCACTGCACATAGCTGGCACATACGGCGAGCAGTGTTCCAGTTTGCAGTGGTTTGGGGGACATCGGTCCCACACTTATTGCAGTACACGCTAGGGTGTGCGAGACTGCTTTGGACAGTGGGCATGACAGTGGTTGGAGCGGGTAGGGATGTCAAGCAGTAGGAGTCAAAGGTATTTCCCTCCTACTAAGGGCACCTTCATACTTTATCAATCAATGATATGTTTCAGATACCACAATGATCAGAACAAAATGCAGCAGTGCTGAGGACACATTCGCCACAAGCTGCACACCCATCAATCATCATGTGCGCTGAGACAATGCACTGGCTGGAGCACCCGGTCCAGAGTTCAACTACGCATGTGACTTGACCACCATTGACAACATTTCACTCGTACATTGACCATATCCCCACCAAATGTTTTCAAACTTGCAGAAGTGTCAGATGTGTAGTCCAGTAGTACGGATGTCTCTTTAATAGCAGCCGGAAGCGATTTCTGTTGACATAGAGGCAAAACATGCAAAACAGATGATTTTGAGGATAGACGCTGTACCGCTGAATTTGTACTTGTTTTGCTCTCCGCTCACACCCTACACACTTAATTGCTCGCTTTGCTCACAATTATTATTATTATTTTCTGACTATCCCAACACGACGCAAAGGCGGTTACGTAAGTACTGTAACGGAGAGTGGCATGGTGCTAAGTCTGTATCCTGCGTTCGTTTGACGCTCGGTGGCACAGGGCCGCGCCTCTTGGGTAGTTGTGGTGCTACTCCTTGGGCCGTGGGCGCCTGGCTCCCCCAGAATGACAAGTGCATGGTCAGTAAATAAGAGAGTCCGCCAAAAATTGTCCGTGTGCACTTCTTGGCCCCCGCGAGAGAACTGTCCAATTACCCGCTGTGTTGCGGGGGCTTACTCAGAGCGAGCACGGTCTCAGGCACTGTGGAAAATCCCCTTGGGCCTGGGTGGTTGTCACATTTCCAAGGCTTCACGCACTGTTGGCGTGCGGCTTGTGGGGTGAGGTGTGGGGTGCCCACGCACTGGTCTTCGGCTTGCGGTGGGGCCACTCGGGGAGTACACAGGGTGCGCGCTGGCGCACACCGCACACTCCAAGCTCTGCATCAGATATTTATAGATGATGGCTGCTCTAGTATAAAACTGCAGGTGGATAGCTAGAGGGGTGCAGGTATGATGTCATATGTTATTTCAGAATGATATACTCCACAGTGATCTGGCATATACATGTATTGTCTTATGTACGCCCAGAATTGTACCTGTGTGTCATTCAGAGTGTATTGCAAGAAGAAGAAAGTGAATAGACCATGTTGTGGTGAAGATATGACATATGCTCAGAAGGGGGAGTTGCTTGAAAATGCGGCCTTCATATGTTTTTGTGCAGACCTCTGATCACTTTGCATCTTGTTGCATTACGTTTGTATGTATGTGGAGAGCTTAGATCATCGTTTTGGTGCTTATTGGTGAAGGATTGAATACAGGCCATGGTATGTCATTATTCTATGACATGCCGCATTTTCAAGCAACTCCCCCTTCTGAGCATATGTCATATCTTCACCACAACATGGTCTATTCACTTTCTTCTTCTTGCAATACACTCTGAATGACACACAGGTACAATTCTGGGCGTACATAAGACAATACATGTATATGCCAGATCACTGTGGAGTATATCATTCTGAAATAACATATGACATCATACCTGCACCCCTCTAGCTATCCACCTGCAGTTTTATACTAGAGCAGCCATCATCTATAAATATCTGATGCAGAGCTTGGCCAGCCAATTCAACACTTGTAGATGCTTGTATGCTGCACACATTTTGGGGGGTATATGGGCTCAGTGCAGGCACACCCAGGCAAGTGTGGCCATTGTATTGGGTGTCATTAGGTGCACATTTTGAATACAATTACAAAAAGAATGGAGGGAAACAGAGGGAGGGGGAGGCAGGGTGCAGGGACAGTGAGCTCGCTATCAGGCACAGTGAGCATAGGCACAGGCGGGGAAGCGCCAGCAGGGGTGCGGCGCTCGAAGATGTTGGGGTAGTGGGGGACACACGTGATGATGGGAGCAGACAGATGCGGGCTCGGCCTAGCTCGGGGCTTGCCAGGCAGGGACTTGTAGAGAGGGGAGGGGACTTGTGTATATGGGGGAAGCAGGCTGTTTCCTTGCAAGGGAATTGGCTGCGATATTTGTAGTGTATCTAGTAGTGGTGGGCATATGGACATTACAGCGATACTATCTACGGTAGGGGGGTGGGATTATCCAGGTTCATTGATCTATCAAAACATGAGGTACAGGTGCTTCCTGGTGAGGGTGGTGAACCACTCCAGCCTCACAATCTGGCTGTTGTTTACTTCACCTGCAACTCTTACTCTAGTAAGAGTGGCAGTGATGACAAGCCTTCAATTGGCTTTAACCTCTGTGGTGTGGTGAAGATCACCTCTCATGTGTTGGTCGAGAAGAGCACCTAGTGCGCTGGTTGTCTTTTGCAGATCATCATCTCCCTGTGCATGTGCATCATGCTGATACCAGACTTGTGTCGTCTTTGTTCTTGTCTTATACAGATTGCCGTCTCCCTGTGCATGTATGTCATGCTACACTTATACCCACTACCACTACACATCTCCTACCTTGTTTCTCTGGTATCTTGTGGACATCCCTATGTATATATCATGAACCATACTCTTCTGCCCTGCCCTCCGCTCACTGATATCTGGACTCTTTTACGATCATCTAATTCTTTCTTTACTCACTCACTAATGCTTTGTACTATCACCACGCTCATTACAACCAACTTGATATACACTCTTGCAATCTGATTCATGATTTGTTGCTGAACTTCTGGGCGTGATAATCAAGTGCGCTTCACCAAGTCTTGCTTTGAACTAAGATAAGAACTTGGCGCCTTCCACATGGTCACATAACCATGGGAGTTTGATGAAGGTTGAAGTTGAACTTCAGCTAGGCAGCCTCTGGGTGCCTCTCACTTCTGAACTCGAACCATGATGTTCTCCTACTCTGCACTCAAACCCACCTTACTATTCAGCCTTTTATGGCTGATTCAATGTGCTTGGCACACCTCTGCACAAGTTAACTCTACCTCTCTCTCCCAAACCCATTCCAATCTATGTTATAAGTACACTTCTATCCTCTGTTACAGCCCAACCTTACTAATACACCTATAGATGATCCCCCTCTATATAGCTTAGACTACACTGAGCAGGTTACTCTAGGCACCTTGACTGAAAGCCATAGATCCCTTGTGGACAAGGTTTGGATGAGCACCTCTGTTTTAAGCTCTGTCTGTCTGTGCCTTCAGTCAAACATTGATGTTATCTACCCCTCACCTGTCTGGCATTATTCTGGGTCTATGTATGGCTATATGCAGCCTAGTGCATCACTATACTTGACCTGGAACTCTCCACGGTCTCAAGTGAGGCTTATCAGACTTTTGTTTATGTGCACTTGCATGCTTAAGCATGACTTCTGAGCTGCTATCAAGAGCAAATATTACTCTATTCAGATAGCAGTTGAAACATCTTCTAAGCCATTAGTACTCTGATATTGTCGCAATTTTATGGTGCTGTTATTCCTCCAAGAATACCAGAGGGAAGTGGTGGACAGCAAGTGAACTCCAAGGTATCCAGTTCAAGATGAAATAACAATGAATATGAACTACCGCTATCATAAATGTGTAGTGTCTCCACCCATAGTGAATACAGAGTGTGCTGTAATTGTAAAAATTCCTTTATCACACTTAGTTACTGGACTACAGAAACCTGACCTAGTGCGGTTGGCTAAAATACATGCAATAGGTTTCTCTGCTACAATCAGGCAGACCAAAGACCATTTGTTAAGTATTCTAATGAACCACATTTGTATTTCATGCCCTGAATACGTAGTGGTGTTTGTGCCCACCGAGCCAGTGTAGACCAATTGTAAAAAAACAGAAGACTAAGCGTGCTAAAGCCCTTCTACCTTTGAATGAACCTCTAGTTTCAAAGTCTGTAAAGCACCAGTTTCCACCTAACCCACCTGATAATCAGTTACTAGGGGACATCATCACTGGATTTGCCTCAGACATTCAGCTTAGGAACTTCCAAGAGGGTGCTTGTGCAGTCTGTGGCTTATTGACATACAAGTTAGCACTTCAACCCCTCAGCAAGCTTACATGTGATCTAAATATTCTCATTCCAGAAAGGTCTGTTACTAGAGCGGAATGCACTTCCCTTTCGGATCCTATTTGTGATGTGCCAGGAAAGGTGCTTTTGCCAAACTGTGATGATGTCTGCAAATCTTGCGCATCTGATCTACTCTCTGGAAAGCTACCTCCAAACAGTCTGGCAAATGGGCTTTGGATAGGTGAGGTACCAGATGCTCTGAAAACTTGAGCTGGACAGAAAAACTCTTGATCACACGAGTAAAGCACAATATGTGTATAGTAAAAGTCCAGATATCTGGCATGTCTAAA